GTATGTGAAAGATCTCCCCACCACCACCACCAGGGGGGTTGCCAAATAAGGTTGGCAACTGCTGCTATGAATTACTGAAATACATGAAACCTCAAGAAAGATAAATCCAAGGCAAAGCTTAAAAAAGAATAAACATGTGGTGCAAGTAACGTAAAATACTGGTTCAGTTTCTTAAGCTCATGAGGCCATTGGTGTCAATCTGCTGCATTCCTGTAGAACGTGTCTTAGTGATAAACAGACAGGAAGTCTAGTCCAGTTGACCAGTTGTTGAACACGCCGCCAGCTTTTACATGTTTGATAGATATCACGCTGTTATCTCAGTTCATCTTGTGAAAATGGATACATGCACATCCAGTCTGCCTAATCTGTGGATCTGCGGAGAGGTGTCTGGTCTGTCTCTGGCCTTCCTCCTCCTCCTCCTCCTCCTGCGGACATGAGCTTTATCACTGTCCTTCCTCATCCTCCCTGTCTCCCCTCTCTCCCCCTACGCTGCTCTTGGCTCCCCTCGCTCGCCCTTTCCTTCTCCACACCTCCCTATCTCTCTTCCCGTTCAGATTGTGTGTGTCTCTCCCCCTCTGTAAGTCTCTACATCTTCCGCACTCTTCTGTTCATCTCGCTGCAACAATAAATTACACCAAAACCCTGCGTACATCTCTTTGTTCTCCCTGCCAGATAATTCAATTCATTTTAGCCGGGCTTTGCATCCTGAATGATGAATGCATTGACTGCAATTAAATAGGGCTGTGTGTTAAGGACCTCACATAAGGCACATCTACAGCTCATCCGGACCAAATACACTAAAAGCATGAATAATAAACAACCATTCTCAAGTTCAGTCATTATCAGAAGATTGCACTGCACACATTCTATCATGTTCTGCGCTCCACGGTGTCATTGTAGAAATATAGTGTATTTTGTATGATAGATACGAAGATTAGTGAAGCTTTATGAACTCTCCTCAATAGCTGACCTCAGTTAAGAGAATATATAATAATGACTAATGGATAACATTAGTCATCCCCACACTTTTACTTGTTATTTTAGCAGTTACGCCTCACTGTTGCTGGTTTGACCTTTCAGTGTGGAGTTTGCATGTCTCCCCTTGTGTCTGGTTGGGTTTCCTCCGGGCGTTCCAGTTTCCCAAAACATACACCATGGGAATAGCCTCCAGCCAAGAATCAAGATCTATAGCTGTCATGGCATTGAAGGATGGACCAAGATAATGTTTTGCTTAATGTTCAGATTTACAAAATGCCAAGAAGAAAGCGCTGGTTTCAAGATATAATATTGTGACAACGACTCCCAGCTTTTGAAAAATAATGGCCATTGCAAGCACAAGCACAAGCAGTAAAAGGACAAACAGTTGCCGCCCCATGCCGCCGCCAAGTGTCTTCCTTTCATTTCACTCATCCTACTGTCTGAGAGAGGTGACTTTTCAGAGGTGCCCCTCTAGTCCTTGGAGCGGTCGGCGGGCAGTTCCTCGTCTCCTCTATGTTCTCCTTCCTGTGGAGTGATTAATGTTTGCTCAACAACATCCTGTGCGCATATGCTTATGCAGAGCTGTCCAGACATTATGCAAGACATGTAGATCCGCTTGTAGAGGAGACTTTTTAATACTACTACATAACTACAGAATACAAGTGATAGGGACAAAAAGCAACAGCAAGCAAACACTGATGGCCAATTCAGGTCAAAGCCAGTGCAGATTAGACAAGGCCAACTGTACCTGAGCCGAGCCAAGCAGACTCGTGCCCAGGCAACTGTGAATGTTTGGTAATAAGAACTCTCCAAGGGGCCAGCCAAACTGATATGTTCAGATTATGATCAAGGCCAAGGGCTGAGGAAAGAGGAGATAACCAAGAAACCTGAGAGCAGAAGGATGCCAGTGGTCTCTGAATCCAGGTTTCCCTCATGAAGAGGCGGAGAAGAGAGATTTACTCTGGCACCTGTGCTCAGCTTTGTCCGCATACGACAAGCACCCACTTTAAATGCTTGGGATTGTGGGAAGGCAGAAGGTGATTAATGGGGCGTGTGTAAACAAAGCCCTTGAAACAAAAGCGAGAGTGTAAAGAATAGAGATAAGGCTCGACTCCAGTCAAGTTTGGCATCATCCCTCTTCTACTAACGACCTCTACTGTCGACCAGTGACGGCAGGGGCAGCCGCCAGAATCACCAGCAGAAAGACTTGCGCCAAAAGGAGCCCTGACATGCACATTCATTCTTTAAACCAAAGAAGATAATTGTGAGGTAACCGACCTGTCTTCATTCTTTGAATAAATAAAAATGCATGACCTGCCAGAAATATGGACAATGGCATTACTGATTTAATTTGAATAGACCACTTGTTATTATGGCTCTCAGGGACTGGTTGTGAATGCTAAACTGCACGATGTGACTATAAAACAGTGCAGTGACAGAGAAAAAGAGATATATTTGCAAAGACCCTTAAAGTCACTACTTTAAACAATATTTTATTAGTACATTACTTAGGTCAAGTCAGCATGTCAGAATACTGTTTTAAATAGAGGCTACTATTCTTTGTTTGAAAAAATACTATCAAAATATTTAGATGAATATGTTAATCAGGAGTGAAGAGTGGGCAGAAGCACCAGGCAAATAGTTCTGAGCAACACAAAGCACTTTTGTTTTTGCAAAGTGTAATATTTCAATAGGATGCAACGCCTTATTCCACAACAAGACCTACAGACACTAAAAACAACAATCGGTTATGCTCCTCATGAATTATCCCAGCACTAGACATAGCATACATTTGTATTTACTCACTCAAAAGTAAATGCTATGCTTTGGCACAATAGAAGATATAAAATAAATCCTTTTAACGCAAGCACGCTCTACCCACAGACGCAGTCATAACGCCAAACCGGTTACATACATGTCATCTCTTATCTTTACAAGCGTTATGTGTTTTAATTCTAGAAAGTCAAGTCTGCACAACAGCGCCCATTAACCTGGCATATCTTCATTTTTATGTAATGATATAATGGGAGAGAAGGCGTCTGTGTCCTCCCTGCTGAATACTTTAGATAAGGAATTTAGCCTCCTCCCGACTGCACCATTTAAAGCCTATCAGTGGGCAGGTTGGATCACTCCCCAGACTGTTCCCCTCTCCACACCTCAGGAAGTAAATCACAGCCAAGCATAACGTCATAGCCAATCCCCGTGATCATCCTGATGCGAGCCTGCTGGATGCTGAGTGCCTGGTGTAGAAATTAGGAGCTTGAGTGAACCTTGAGTAGCTTTCTTGTTGACTGAACAAGTAGCGGGGTGCGTGGAGCGCTCGTGTCAAATATAGAAGGTTCAGCAGTGGGTCAAGGTGACGAGCCGGCAGCCATCTAATAACTCACAACTATAAAAGAGCTTTTCCGTGGAGAGATGAGAGGGCTGTTTGTGAGCACCTCTCCACAAAGCATCACACACTACAGTACAGTGCATACGATTTTAGCCTGTTCTTATTGGCACTGTGAAGGATGATGGGAAAGCTGGGGGACTTCTAGCCTGGACTTAGCCATCCGTACACTCCGCTCTATCGGCATTTCACTGCATGTAACGTCTGGGTCTGGTCCTCATGTTAGTGATTACAATCGCTTGAATTTCGACCGACCAATCAGCGAGCGCGGAAGGCGGGTGTTGTAGTTAGTTGTGAGTGACGTCAAGAGTTTGCGTCGAACGGGAAGGTTGTAGTTTGGCAATGGCGAAGAATGCGATAGTAAAGTAAAGTCTGGTTCTATTAAGAAATTGAAGCCTTAGAAAAAATTGACGCTAACGGAAAGGAGATGGCTAGGCTAAATGCTAAATGCTAACAACAGACTTGGGCGCACTAAATAAATCACGGTAAACTCAGATCCAATCGTTTCAATCTGTTAACCCCTCCCACCTGTAAACAGAGCTCAATAGAGCACCTCCAGACCTTAGGACGAAATCTAATTTGTACTATGGTGTGGTACGACCAGGCTAGGGGACTTCACTTTCAAACCACAAAAAAAAATGAGCTATGTAAGAGAGAACAGTTAACTTGGATCATGTCGTTTCTGGCGTGTGTCACATCTTGAGATACATTCTTTCCCAAATAGAAAAGTGAAAAACAGAAGACCAGCCTCACTCAGCCAATCAATTCTCAGCCCATATTGCGTCAAATATGGAAAAGATCAAATCTATTCTAATAAGATAAAGACGGCATGTTGTGGTCTGATCACAATACAGTATAGTTAAATAGAGTATATTTTGCATGTCCCCTTTGAAGAAGAAATACATGTTAATATAACTTTTCTGGTGGAGGTTCTGCCACCTTTGCTATAGGCATGTGTAAGGATGTAAGTTTAATTTTGTTTTTGCATTACACTCTGGAATGTTCCAAGCTAAGTATCTTCATGTGATCTTTAAGGGAAAAAAAACAACATAAAAGGACAAACAAACCTTATGGTATACATTTATGATTGAACGTTTACACAACCAGTCAGAGATCTCATATTTGGCCATGATTTGCGGATTATGAATAATTACGCTTGTGTGTTTTCTATTTTCAAATTGTTACATTGTTAAGCTAATCTGGGGATATCTCAAATGTCCCGTTCATGCAAGGCAGCCCGGGAATTTACAGCAACTGAAGGCTTTCTCTCAAGAAGAATGAGCAGCTTTAAAGAACCTCACCCAGAACTACCACAAGTGACTCCAAGATGCTGTTGAGGACTGAGTGATGGAAGTTTCTGTTGTTATTGTCTATATAATATGAAGTGGTTTCACACAACCACTAACAATGACTGAAAAAGAGTGTGCATTCGTTCACAACTTCCAAAATACAACAATAAATCTTCCGGGAGTGGGTGTGTAAACTTTCAAGCACAAGTGCATGTCACACACGTTTGGGATAGAACAACATATATTCTGAACAAAGGAGCAGTCTCTTAACTTTTGTCATAGATATATTTTACTTTCATTGTTACATCGTGTCCCAAGCTCATCCCCCTCATGTGGAAGTATGTTTACATCCAGTCAGAGTATCTTTCTGTGTCAGTGAGCGCCGTCTGAACACGCACACCAGTGATCTGCTCATCCTTCTCCATCGCCTCCTCTCCGCCGCACACAGCATCCCCGTCTCCTAGCAACTCACCATAGCGCCCGCAGCTGGCTGTTACCTTTCCGTCAGTGCCGCTTATTTCTCCCGGTTGGAGTGAGGTGACTTTCATGTTTGATGTGTGTTTGAGAGCTGCACTCCTCCTTCTCTCCCCCCTCCTGCGCTGGTGCTGTTGGCGTGGAACATGCAGGAGCGACCCCGCTGTCGAAAAGCATTGGTTCAGATTCCTGTTCACACTCCCCCCGACGGCAACAGCTCTTTGAAAACAGGAAGACTTGAAAGAGCAGGATCACAGTGACTGATCACTGACTGTGCTGTAACAAGAGGAAATCCACAGTATCCTTTTAGATGGGCAAAAAAGCAGACGGAATGAAAATGGCAGAGACTATCATGACTTGGACCTGAAGCTTTTAAGGATTTGTTAAAACTTATTCTCCTCGTTCATGGAGTTCTTTATCTCTTTACAATTCAAACAGTTTCATTTCTATGTTTGCCTCCTTGAATGAATGGATATGATTGCTATTATGTCTATTAGCACATCACTCAGCAGGATATTAATAATGGTAAAAAAGGAGAGTGTGAAATCCAAAGTGAAATATCCTTTACAAAAATCATACACAGCTTATTCAAACAAGTCTAATGATTCCACCAGCTTCCTCTAATCCAAGTAGTAAATTAGATTGTTTACGTTAGTAATATGAATAAGAATAATGAGTCGGTGGAACTATAACTACAGGCAGAATGTCAGAGTGCTCAGTGGCAATGGCCATTTTCAACACTTCATTCACACCAAAGAGCTACTTCAATAATTCATCACTCATTCTGCACACAGAGCCTCTCCACAGCTGCCTAATAGTTTTCAACACTAGTTTAACTACACGCACAAGCACATTCAGCAAGTGGCCTACACTGCCATTAATCTATTAATAAGGACTTTGAATCTTGGTTCATTTCTAAATGATTAGCATGCATTGGCATTACATTAGTATGGGACAGGCAGTCCAGTATTGTTCATTAAAGCACATTTAGTACATAAACTGTTATGTGACTTAAACAAGATGTTCAAACAAGACTAATGCTTATTTAAGGCTTGTCCCCATGGATCTATAATAATAACTGGATAAGGTATGACTAGCTCACAGCTGTCCCACCCATGGGCACAGTGGTCCAACAGCCTGTGGTACTGCAAACTAAATTCACGTGGGCTCCCCAGAAAAAAGTCCCATAGAACTCAATGTAAACTAAAACAGCTCGACCTCAGCTGACAAAGAACCTACAGCTTTCAGAAAGATCGGATTTTGTGGGAATTTTAGTGTCCCTTGTCATCTTGAACTTTTCTTCTTCTTAAATCCTTCAGTTTTCTTTAAATCCACACTTTACGGCCACAAACTCTGCTCCTTTCCTTCCCGCTCTGGCCCAGCTCTACCACTGCTCTGATCAGCAGTACTGATTGGTCAAGCGTGACCGAGCCCCTCTGTGCATGAGAGCCACCCACGAGTATTTGGCGCAACGCATCATGGGACCTCGTCCACTGCGCAGAACCGGAGGACCAGACGACGACCAAATATAGGCGAGTTCTGCTAATCTTCCGGTCTCCGTGAAGTCCCATGCGCTACTGAGCACAAGCCATTCATTTGAATTGGGCGCCATCTTGGATCACCAGGGCTTGCTTGTCCCTCAGACAATCCTCTCAGGTCCGAGATGGATTTCAAACTGTTATTTAGTGTTTATACGTTATTTGCGCTACAAACAACCTTGGTTTTTGCCGAAGCAAAAACAAAAGTCCTCACCCTGTGTGTTTTCAGGAGTCGAGGGGTTGGCTTCAAAAGCCTCAGATGATCATTCAGGTCTGTTCTTTGTTGTTGAAACAGTTGCTCCTGATTAGGCTTCAGTCAGAACCTTGAGAAGGATGACGGCTCTGTGGAGGCTGTGGAGGCATCAGTGACACAAATAGCTGTTCACTTTTCTTTTCTCTTTCTTCCCTTCTTTCTGCGACTCTGCTGTTTTCAGCCCTCTCCATCTGCAGCCTGACCTCTGCTATTCTTCACTATGATTCCTGTGTGTTCAAAGGCGGCAGGATGTCAGTAATTGGAAGGGATGTGATGGAGCGGGGGCCCCTCCGTGGGGTTGGGGGGCCCCTAGCATTGGAGAGGTCAGGGATAGCCTGTCTCACACTGACATGTAGGCTCGGACGGCAGTGTGCAGCCACAACAGGCCTGGGGCATCAGCAGTAGCTCTGCGGGGACAGTTCGGGATGGGTCTGCTGCTGCAGTTCAAAACTCCCTATGGAGCACAGAAGGGGGTCCACAGGGAAATGTGCAGTTTTGAACTGCAGCAGCAGACCCATCCCGCACTGTCACAGAAGGTCTACAGTGGGATTTCTTTAGATATCAACCGATTGAACTATATGGAAGCCCGTTTCCGCCATGTTAAAAAAAAAAAAAAAAAAGCCTACAGAAACTCATAATTCCAGACAACACATACCGGGCAGCAACTGCACATGCGCAGTTCAAAACTCCGAATTTTGAGTTTTAAACACAACATTTTGAGTTTTAAACTCATAAAAACAAACTCAAAATTTCGAGTTTCTGTAGGCTTAATTTTTAATTTACAATAATCTTCAAAGGCACCGCACACGTATGTGCACACGCATACAGTATGCACATGCACTGTAACCTGTCCTTCACCTGTTTACCCTGTGGCCGATGAGTGGACCTTTTAATCATGTGATCAAATTGCAAGGCTGCAGGGATGCCCCCCACGACACACACATGCAGACATGGCCGAGCGATTAGCACACCTCTTCATAGTGGCTTAGACCACAGGGGCGTGGAGAGACAGGCTTAAGAGGCTACTTTAACCACATCAGCCTTTAAAAGATGTCTGGACTCCATCAACATCAAAACGCCCACCGTCGTATGTACACACTCCTTTAATACACATGGTAGCTTAAACATCTGCTGACAGCAGGCGCACACAACGTGTGTAGTTTCTGAGGAAACAGTGCAGTGTCTGATGTGACACCCATGACACAACCACACAGGGAGTGGGTGTATGGCGTGGGCATATGTCATCTTCAGCGGCCCGTCGTGGCTGAGGGCTGTCCCGCTGCTGGACGAGCTGGATTTGGGGATACACCCAGATGACACATATTCTTTGGCTGGCGCTGACACTGAGCTGCACTGCTCTCCACACACAGCACCTGAGGCTGTGCCAGTGCCAAGTGGGATTATTAGTCACCCATGTTAGCACCACCGAAACTCCCTCCACGAAACCACCAAAATCTGCTCCCAAAAGGACAGAGTCTCGACAAGGGCACAGTACAGTGAGGAGGATGCCCGGGACTGTTACCGTCATATGATCTCCATGTAGCTCAGTCATGCCTCTGGGGTGTGCCATCTTGTACATGCCCCCTCCCCTTTTGTCCCAAAGTACATGATGCCTGCTGGGAGCGCCTTTTTACACCCCCTCCCAATTTTAAAGATAAGTCTTCAAAATGTCAACAATTTCATCTGTAAGGCTACTTTGTCAAAAAAGGGTTGAGATCAAACAAAGGAAATTACATGTGACCTCAAATTGGTTTTGGCTAATATGTTTTGTGTAAGATTAAGCATGTATAGCGATAATTTGTACAGACAAAAACTTTCTGAAACGTTGATATTGGTTTACTTTTTTTTAAAAACAAAAATACAAAATGCTGTGTAGAATGTGCAACATTTCAGCAGAATTGTGTCAGATTTAGTATATTGAAAGACTATTGTAAATGTGATTTATCTCATTACAAATATGAAACTTAATCTCAAATTCAGAATGGAAGACCAAAGAGACATCATGCTGCCACACTGGACTAGGGATGTAAAAAACTATGAATTTTCATGACCGACCACCGAGCCTCATTAACCGGTTGAAACCGGTTAACCGCGTAGTTTAAAATAGTCCACGTTCTTCGAAATAACAGCCATTTCGAGCCGCGTACTTTTCATAAGAGCAGCTCTGCGTTCTACTGGATCAGAGTTGAGACAGCGGCGCCCAAACCCGCAACAGCTCCGGCACCTTTGCGCACAGAGAACTGCTTTTTTAATCTTCCCATTCTGCTGTGCTGCGGGTTAATACCAAAACTTTCTAGCAGCAAACGACGGCTCGTTCACATGGTCAGAGCAGCGAGTGACGAGCCGCGTCTCACAGGTCTTCACAAAAGTTTAAATACAAGTGATGTGTGTGGAGCTGATCCCGAGGACCATAAACACAAACATGTTCCATGTGGTTTGACTGGAGCCGCGTATTTGCGCGAATCCTTTGGGCTCCGTGACACAGAGGAGCGCGACAGACCGGTATGTGTGTGTGTGTGTATGTGTGTGTATGTATGTGTGTGTATGTAAATGTAAGCTCCAATGTAGTTCTGACCCGCGCCAGTGTGCAACTTTGACGGTAACAGAGGGGAGAGATGATGCGTGTGGATGTTACGTATGGAGAGGGGGAGTGTGTGTGTGTGTGTGTGTGCGCGCGTGCGTGTGTGTGTGCATATGTGGCTCGTGCAGCGTGAGAGTCGTCCCGGAGTTTATAATACATTGGCGCACACAGCTAGATACAGACCCGCTCGTCACACCGTGCAAATAGGGCTTAAAATAGCGTTATTAAGAGACCTCCCCTCTCCCCTTTTTCTCTTTTTTAACCGACAGCTTTGACCGGTTAACGCTGTGACGGTCAACCACCGGTTAACCGGTCGCCGATTTACATCCCTACACTGGACTCCTCCCTCTACACAACTGTACCTGAGCCAACAGCAATCAGCCTCAGCTGCTCAGTAACACACCTGTGCTCATCACTTTATGGCTGCATATAAACAAAAATAATAATAATAATAATAATAATGCATCGGTTTTATATAGCGCTTTTTTGGACACTCAAAGACGCTTTACATGTCATTATTCTTTCACTCCATACACGGTGGTGATAAACTACTACTGTAGCCACAGCTGCCCTGGGGCACACAGACAGATAAACACATAAACAGAGCCTCTCAGTTCTCCACAGCTCAAGCTGCTCTTCGAGCAGCAACCCACCTCCTCCCCATAACCGCCTCTTCAGTGGAGTATCATGTCATGTCTTCGGCTCAGCTTCTTCGCCCACCAGGGTCTAGGCCCTCTAGGCACGGCACGGCACGGTTATTTTGCATTTCCACTAGGGTTGGGCTCGGACAGTGGTTCCAAGTGTGTTCAGACCGGATCATGCGTTGCGTCTGCTTTCAATGCAAAGTCAATGGTGACGCGCGTTCGAGCGTCAAAATGCATGTGCGTCTCGGAACGCACCCACGGACTGCGCAGTAGAGACGCACAGACTGCGCGGGAAAGTCGAAGGGGAGGAGCAGGAGCGGAAAGTCGACGCACGCAGGAGATAAACTTTGCTGAACGTTTCCTCGGACGTTCGTGCCGTGACCAATCAGAGACCCACAAAGTGGTCACAGGGACATTAGCGGACTGACTGAGCAGACTGAACATACTCGTAAACAGCCAAAACAGGAGCTACACCAGGACTAAAACCAACGTTGACAATGGGTGACATAGTGCGTGTGAACATGTGAGTTTTCATGCTCCCGTGACTTTATGCAACTGCTTCGAGTGTGTTCGCCAATGCCGAAGTACCGTTTAATAATGACATAAACTTATTGCGCTCCTCCGTGAACACATACTACTGTTATATAAAGTCTGTGGAAGGTCTCTGGACACAGACACGCTGCAAAGCTGCATTATTGGAGAAGATCTTTACACAAGAAGCCTCTAGCATTTATTAGGCTATAATACGTCCTCCTCACTCAAGAGAAATGGAATCGCACAGAAATCCCCAAAAGTCAATGTTCTGATCGGTCGATGAGGTCCACACATTACTCTCTTTAGACTGAAGAAAGAATTCAAAGACAGCTTGACGGCTCAACACGGAACGGGAAGGTCTTCAGGGAGATCGCTCTTGATTTGTGACTAGTCTGTGGTAATCCTGGAAATGACTGGTTAATTACGTATCCCGTTGGCCCAAAGCTCTCACTAAAATGTATTTATTTACTTGTGTAAAAGTTTGATTGTCTGTTGTATACAGTGAGCTAGCAACATTTAGCTATCGATAGCAAGCTAAGCTAAAATTTCCTTCCTGCGCTAGTGTGCTGTATCTTGCTCTTTTGCGTGTTTCTGTTTTGTGCTTTTGGAGATAATTGGAGGTAAAATGTTTAATGGAAAAGCACCCACACTCGGCCGTACCGCGAAGCGGCATATGTCATTTGGGCCCATCTAAATATTCTGACCCGATTATAAAAAAATAAATAGAAAAAAAAAATCACTTTACGACTCGACAACTGCAATAGCCCCCAGCCTGCTCACCCACACCTGCTACAGAGACCACCACAGCCCTATCTTCAGGGAACTACACTGGCTCCCTGTTCTATACTGAATCCAATACGTGGTCCTCCTCATCACCCCTGCAACTTCACATCTTTGCACCTAAAAACCCACCTGTTTAAATGCATTCATTACTGTTTTTCTCTTTGTCTGTTTACTCTTTTTGTTTGGCGTTTTTTGTAAAAAAAACAACTTATCAAAGGCCATACCATATGCACCATGAATCGTTTAATGACTTCTGATCCATAGTCTTCTTCTATGTCCACACCACACCCACCTTCCTCCCCTTATTACCAAGAGCGAAACAGAAGAGAACAAGGCCCAGACGCACTCACCTTACATGTAAATCATAATGAACTGCCCTTTGAAATGACGCCCCTCATGCCTGCAATATAATCTTTTTGATCTTAATTGTGCATCGGCGGACCAAAACATGCATGCTAAATGAGTAGCGCTGCATCTGTTCGCCATCTTTCTTTGTCAAAGTCAAGAAGACACAGCGGTGAATAGTATAGATGACCGGAGCATGGCGAAAGGGAAGGAGACATATTATAGGAGGTGAAATCGGAGCAGCCAGACCCAGGGAATGCGGGACACCTGAGATAGCAACCGGAGCCCTGGAGAAAGAGAAACCCTCATCCCAGGGGAGAATGTGGGCTGGGTCGGGCCACGGAGCTCTGTACAGGTTGCATATGAGGTTACATTTCAATGGGATTAATAGGTGAGCTCGGCTATGTTCAAGTACTGTACAGGCCATCTCATTAACACAACTGCTAGTGATATCCTAACAGCTTATCTGCTTTGAAGAAAGTAAGTGCACTCGATGAATGAGGGTGAAAAAAAAAAAGTACTTTTGAAGTATTTACATTTGCTATCAGTGCAGGATCTGAAGCAAGACACTATGCCTCCTTAGACCTTAAGCAGAGAGAGAAAATGGTCATCAACACAACAATAAGGCTAAAAATCAAAGCGATGGGGGGAAGAAGGAGCTTGCTTAGCACCCTTTGGAAACTTTCTTATGATGACTGAACCAACAGAGATAAGTGTCACTTATTTAGACTGCTGTTGTGTGGACAATTTTGAAAGGTTCAGCTGAACAAAGCTGAATATGATCCTGCCAAAAGCTCTCAACCTTTCCAAATGGTGTCGGCCAGACTTTACGCTACTGAGGTTATGAAGATGTATTTGACATCGCAGCGTATGTGCCGTCGACTGCTGTGTGCTATCATTAGCATAAATTAGCTTCTAAAGTATTTTTAGATGTTTTATCATGTGTATACTTCCAAATGACCACAGCAAACTCAAGTATCCATCACTATATAGGCGGCATGGTGGCACAGTGGTCATTACCTCAGCAAGGTCCTGAGTTTGATTCCACACAGACAGTTCTTTTCAGGTTTCCTCCGGCTGCTCCTATTTGCTGCACCACTAAAATGATTTACAATAGGTCTGGCATATGTCTCCTCCATGGCGACCCCACACCCATTACTGTGACGGAGGGGGACTGAAACGCCCTATATAAATAAACGTGACCAACTTACTCGCGTTCTTCTCATACCAAATAGCCATTGCTTTCACTGTGTTTTATCTCTGGAAATATATGCAATTTGACTTTGCTGTCTTTTCGTCTCTTTGTGCAGCCCACACCAGTCCATGTATTAATATACTGCTATTTCACAGAGGCCTTCAGCAGTCTGTTAAAAACTAAACTGCTAATTGCTACTGTGGGCAGATGCGCAGAATTGGCTTTTGCCCCAGTCTTCAGCGAGGGCGTGACTAGGATGTTTGTGATGTCAGTAGTCGACTTGTCTACATATAGTTATAATATATGTTATCCATGGATCATTTATATATTTTGCATTGATATCGGTGTTTAAAATGGCCATAGTGGATTTTGTTGTTATACACGTCTCTGTAAATGTCACCCCTTTGTGGCGGGCGGGCTCTGCTTATATTAGCGTCAGAACGTGGTGAAAGTTTGTTTTTATTCAAATGCCTGAACAATACTGAAGAATTTATAAACTAAAGGTATAAATAAATAATAATCAAGAATATTGAGCATTTATTGGTGATGGTGCAAAACTGAGAACATTGTTGTTTTAGACTCAAACACCCCACCTAAAAACCAACTTCCAGTGGGTAGATGAGAAGGGAAAATGATTATGCATGATTAAAAGCTCTTTAAAGTCAGTCCACCTTAGAGGCCAGAGATAATGATCCACAGCCCTCTTCTGTATATCGGTGAGAGTTGAAATTGAGCAAATAGTGCTTTGTGATTTCTTAATACTTGCTGGCTGGAGGATGGTATTCAATGCTCGTCCATTCTTTTGTTATCTCATCTTGGTTATAAAGCAGCCAGTGAAGTGGAAGGAATGTGTGGTATTTCTATCTGACAGAGCAGTACAGCCCTGTGAAGTGTGTAAGAAGTTGTGGAGGGTGGTCAGTCAGTGCCCACCCAAACCTCCAGCCTGCTACAGCCTCCATAATGAAAGGGGCCCTGTCCACTGCTCTTTGTCAGGATTCCACCATTGCCTCTCCCTTTCCACATCCCCTGTGCATACACAAGACTAGATGGGTGAAAACGATGATTATATAAATCTTAATTAGTTTCTGGGGATTAAAAGTGGGCCGATTTGGTGAGCGCAGAAAACACTAACAGCTTGAAAGCGTGATTATCTTTGTGCGTAGGTATAAAATTGGGGTTAATACCTGAGATGAAACAAATGGTTTAAAAGTCCTAAACCTTCTTATGCTTGCCAAGGGATTCCAGCAGATTTACAACCACTGGGACCGAAATTCATTTCTGTCACAGAAAAAGCTGTTTTCAAGAGAATAGATTGTAGACTTGGCCATGGATATGAATAGACTGTATAAATTTATGAATATACTGTATTCAGTTTTTAGAATTACAGAACATCTTTGTTTTAGTTGGCCACAATTAATTCTCAATCATGAGTTTATTGTGTAATATTAAGAGGACCTGTCTCTGTAATGGGATTCAGATATTAGGTAGCTCATTTGGTAAGCTCATTGACGGCTATCAGATTTCGGGTCAATGACCTTAATGACCAGACAAGCGCTCGAAGCAGGCATGGAAAGTGGAGGAATAAACAATGAGCTGCTGGTCTGAGAAGAGGCTGCATAGAGCAATTTGGTGACATTTAATCTAATGTGAAATAATGTTTGGATAATGTGATTTTTTGGAAACTAATGCGTCAATAATACGTTCCCAACTTCCCGTGTAATCTATAGAAATTCTATGAAGATTTTTATGCGAGCGTTGTATATATTTTTACTTTTATAACTTGTTTGCACCTTGAGCAAAACCAAATTCTTTGTGACTTTCTGTTGGTTACAATGACAATAAAAAGGATTGTAATTCTGATTGCAATGTGGAATATGGATTTTATTTTAATTAATCAAGGAGTCTTGAAAAAGCCGGAGTTTGGGACAAAAGAAAAACAAAATGTATAGCTTTTAGAGACCTGTGTTAGTGAGACGTTCTAGTTGCATAATCATCATAATCATAAAGGACAAAGTGAAAGTTATAAAAGCCAACAACACTATCCACTATCATACTGTCAGGAATGAACCAGACAGGGACGGATCGTGGCGCGCCAAACTCTGGAAGTTTATTTAAGTTTCTCTCAAGTTCCAGTGGTTTCAATTGTTTCTTTCTCTCAGACAAAATGGAGTCAGTACACAGTTTATATAGTCATTGTCACGTCACACATGGAAAGACGTACGGGTCACACAGAGACAGTGCACATCATAGTCATAACATAGATGCACCATCAGAAGAGTCCTTGTATAGTCTTGCAGTTGTCCTCCGTAGGTCAAATCGCTATCTAATCCTAACAATACTTTTGGGCATTTTGATTTTACCGACTGAACCAAGACTGAACTAGGTCTAAACCCCGGTAGGAGTGGTCATGGACAGAAGTATATGTGACATGTCGTAAATACTCATATGTTCATGTGTCATATGTTCATGTTGTAAAATGATACAGTGCTATTTCACGTCTCTGAATCAATTTTTATTTTTCTTCATCCTCTCCTCTGCCTCTTCTCATTTTGAGTATTAAACACACATTCAAGCTTGCTCCTTATCCCCTCCTGTTGCGTAACCACTTGACAACTCCATCAAACTTGGAAATTATAAATGTAGTCTTCTGCCCTGTGCTCAGAGCGCTACAGCGACTATCTGGAGCTGCAGACGGAGAACTGCATTCTCCTGATCCATTTGTTCATCTACACTGATCTACAGTAAAAAAGAAAGCTTTCGGCCTGATCCAGCTCAACAACAGAGTCTGCAAAATGAAGGCCCAACTTTGAATTGTCCGGAAAATGTGCGGTCACTTCATCAGAACATAGTTTGTGTGAGTGAGGGGCTAGGGTTCATAAGTAGTAATAGCAATTCCACTTACGATAACAAGGTTCCATCTGTAAAGATAACATGTTTACTTATTCAACTTTTGCTGAAATATTTCTACTTTACTTTCACTCTACATTCCACCCGTCGTTTTCTTGTGGTCATTAGCATGTTGCTGATGAGGGACAGTACTCCATTGAGCCGTGTATGTACAAATATGTGTGTGTGTGTGTGTGTGTACGTGTATGGGTGTGTGTGAGGGGAAGAGGTTTGACCAGGCTGCTGCAGTGGACCTGTCAGGGCGGGTCATTAAGAAGACGGCGGGTCGGGGAATACACAGACAAGGTTGATTGGTTTCCTGCATCCGTCAGCACAGGCCTGCAGCATCTCCTGACCCTGCGGCCCCAACTCACCTGCACACACACAGACAAACACACACAGGCCTACACACACACACACACACACACACACACACACACACGTTGGAGTAAACATTGCATCTGTCTGCACCAGCCAACTCACAGACATATTTGCATATACACTATATAAATAAAACTCATTATCGCGCCTGGATTTGGATATGGATTAGTGAACCTCAAACTTTACAGCAAGAATGAGTGCAAAGTTTAATAGTAAAAACCTGATTGATTGCAATTATGTTTTGCAAATTATATCATAAGACTATTATTTCATTATTTTATTTCAAACTGAATATTGTGTTTCTGCTCACTAAAACAAATAGATAATCAACCTAATGATTCATTCCAGATAAAACACTGTTTCGTGGCTGTGGCCATGCAAATATAAAGATGTGTTCAGCATAGTATTTCTACATGTGCAAAACAGACGCCTTATACAATTCATGGTTGTAGAGTTAAAACATGAGATGTAAAGGAAAGCAAAAGAGCACTTTCCAACACTCATATGGTTCCAGTTGTGAAAGATGTTCGTAATTGCTTGCAGTTCGGCTCTAATCCTAAGAGCATGTGAGCTACTTTCAAAATGTGCTCGCCAAAGAGACTTCTTGAAAAAGAACAAGTTGAATCAACAACAGTTGTGATAATACTGGAGCCTTTGGAGTCAGCGCAATGGCAAAAGAAAAAAGAGCCATGCTTGACCTCAGTTTTCTTCAAAGGTCATATGTGGGATTGAATGTGGCGGGGGGGAGGCGGGGCTCCATCATGAGTGCTGCCCAGCATCCATCTCTGCTGTCTGTTGTGCTGTGAATGTCAAGCCTAGAGCCTGTGGCACCCTCTGCCCTTCCAGCCTGCACATGCCCCCTCTGCCCCCCGCCCCACCTGACCCCACACTCTGAAGCAGCCCTGGCCTATACCTGACGCACACAGTCTTCTCCCGAGGGTGGTGCACTCCAAATGAGCCCTATAATAATGTTACTTTAAATGTCAGCAGCAGGTTATTACTGCATGAGTGTGTGTTTAAGAGGTGTGGCGTGTGGGGGAGAGCATCTTCTGTATATATCTGCCATCGTCTCATTCATCCTTCAGCGTAATCAAACGCATTAATGTGTAAAGATGCCATTTAGCACTACACATCAGACTTCGAGCTTGTTAGGAGACACTGATAGACGGATACAATGTGACTGACAGTTGCCGGCTGTGGCCTGTCTGTAAGAGTCAATGACACACACGCCATTTGCAATGCTTAGGCTCAATCACAACTTGTAATATAACTGCTGTGATACGCACACAAGGGCAAACACACGCAGCCAATACAATGCACAAACGTGGCGCTGACCCCCACACACTTTGTTAATGCACAATATAATTGCTAATGGGACCTGTCTTAGAGGTGAAGTGGCATTAACCTATGATCAACCCCAGGTCAACCACTTAAAGGCGAGATAGAATTCATTATATTTTACCCACTTCATCATTGTATCTGACTGACCAATTTTACACCTGTGACAATGACAAACCGGAAAGACTGGGACAGCCAAAAAAAAAAATCCTTTTACCTTTTAAAGCAAGGCATCTGCACCCAAAATAAGGTGTGTGTCAATAACAGACCATATCGGACAGGTTCAGCTCACTTCAGTACATGCTTGTTTTGGCCCTGGGTGAAAATATTGCCGATAAACTTTTATTGCATTCCATTTATTTTTGCCAATATGAGATATTTGTCAATTTATTGGCTTATTTACACATTCACGCTTAAGTGATGGTGTGTTTCACAGAGGGCCAGGCGGCGAGGCAGGGGCAGGTGAATGATAGCCAGTCTAATTAACCGGGTGGTGGCTTCTGCTCCAGAGGCAGGTCGTTGGGGACTTCTAGGTGCCAGCTCAGTGGGGAGGGCTCAGAAAAACAGTTTTAATTGGAGGGAGCTATTTATAGACAAAGCAGCATATTCAGGGTTAGTAGGTTAAATTTGTGCCCTCCTCACTGGGACCAATGTGGTTTGTGGTGATAAACAGACTGGAACCAAAAGGGGTCTCTCTTCTCAGTCTCTGGTGTCGATAAACCTACAAACATGCCAAAAGGCTTATATTCTACAAAACACAGATTCAGGTGCAACACAAGGCAAGTAGCGTGAAATCAATTCATAAACAAATGTTGTTTGTCCCAACAGAAAGAGTCTTGTTTAAGTGACATTTGGTGAACAAGTCAGACCACAACATGCTGTCTTTATCCATTTTTTTTTTTTTTTTTTACAATTTTCCTTCTACAAACAGAGAGCTGATTGGCTGAGTGAGGGCTGGTACGCTCTGATCCACTTGCATTTTAAAACTAGTGATATAAGCAAACAATTTAGAGAGGGAAGATTTGGTTATATGAATTTTACTATATCTTTTTTTTTGTGGTTTCAAAGTGAGGTGCTCCAGCCTAAAATCGGAAACAAAATTGAACATAGATGGGCATAGTGGAGGTGGGGCTTTTGCTTCTGGGTCGAATCTCCCTTACCAGGCGTCTTCATCTGCTGCCCAATCCTCCCGGGGGCCCCCACTTCTCCATTTCATTAGTTTGTCAGACTGCTCGAAGGATTGTGCATTAGGCCTTTAATTTAGTGGATAGCCAGAGGCGGCCTCTGCTGCCTGGTGAGTCGCAGCTCCAACAGGCTGGAATCTAACTAGGATCAGGTTAGCTTAACTTAATGCCGCCCCACACACTCCACTGTACGCCAGTGAATAGACAGAAATAACACTACGCTTTATTGCAGCAGGGGTTCTCTAAAGAAGAATGGTTGTTTGAGTACTTAATTAGATCTCTGTGATGTATTGTACAGTCTTAAAATATAGAAAATGTGTTATTTATTTACAACAAATTATACATTGTTGTGCATTCAAAAGACAACAGATGAATCCTGCCTCTGAAATCTTTCAATGACAACTTTGCAAGTCGTTATTTGCCAGTCCACATTGTTCATAAAACCTTTAAGTCGCACTGATAAGTCATCTTTAAAGGGTTTCACTTGATCGTAATTGTTCATCTATTCAGCACCCCGATGTTCTCTGGGCCTGCTGTGAACTGGGTGCCGTGTGGGAGGACATGAAACAAAACAGCGACTCTATGTCACAGCACAACAAACGACAAGCTGGGACGAACACGCTCTGAGCAACCCAATTATGTACACACTGTGCATTAGCATGAAAGCGCCGCACCCACACAGAGGCTGAAATGCAATTACATGTAACAAAAGGCAAAAGACAAAGCCGTGTGCGAGTCCATCTGACACTCTCCTGGTTTTTTCATCTGAAGTATGGCTCATCGCTGCCCCTCCCCCAGTGACTTTTAACCCTGGGCACCCCTTCTTCCAGCTCCCTCTCTTCTGTGTCTCTGGGATGGAAAAACGGGCTGAAGGGGGAGCTTTGGTGGGACCGGGGCCCTCCTTTTGTTTCCTGTTACTACATGCGTTTCATGGGGAGGCCTGGCTTCTGACCCCGGAGAGCACACACTGCGCTGTGGCTGTGGGCTCCAAGGGAAAGGCCCATCTGTGGCATCCATCAGTGCAGCGCTCTCCTGCTGAGGTACTGTCAGGAGCTGAGGGTGGGGGAGTGGTGGGGGGAGCTGGCTGAAGAATGGGGACAGGGGGGGCTAAAATCAAGCAAAAAAGAAAAAGAAAAACAGACCCGGAGACTCAAGGTCCCTCTACATACACAGAACCAGTGAAGGGAGGAGGGGGTGGAGATGCAATGTTTTTTCATGTGGGCATGAGTGTGGTCTGGCATTTATCTTTGACTGGATCCTTAGGTCAACAACATAATTTAAATTAAGATATGAACAAAATTAGTCAAAGTTATTGCATGTGGGAGTGAGTGGGAAAATGGTGGGGTGAAAAACAGCAAGAAGCTATTTCTCTTCCCCATGATATACAGACTAAACCTCCTCTGGTCAAAATGACTTTCTTCCCTAGAGTGCCTGGTCAGAGAGTGTGAGGACGATCAGTAACATGCAGGAGCTCGGGGTAGAGCGGCTGGTCCTCCGGGTCGAGAGGAACCAGTTGAGGTTGCTCAGGCATCTCTTTTGTGTGCCTCCTTGGGGAAGACCTAGGACAAGCTGGAGGGAGCATGTCTTTCTCCTGGCCTGGGAACGCCCTGGGATTCCCCAAGATGAGCTGGAGTAAGAAGGAATTCCGTATAAAGTGGAAGAAAATGGATGGATAAAAAACCATATTTATTTTGTCTCACTGTCTAAAATTAATGACTTTTGATGTTGTAGAAAGTAATAGATATGTAATTCATAAGAATGACATATTATTGTTAAAAGTGAAAATGAACAGTTAATTTGTAAAAACAGATTAGTGCCATCAGAGAAAAAATATTGGAAAAACTTACAATTTGCCCTTTACCAAATAATTACAGATAACGTTTCACCCCTTGTTGAGAAAATCCTTTCAAATATACTGCCAATATGAAAACATTGTTATTGTTGCTGAAGAAATACAACTTTTTGACACATTTTATAAACAGAGATATCTGTTTTTGCAAATTAACTTTTCAAATGCAGAGATAAAAAACTTGAGCACTTTCTAGTTGGAACAATTGTTGCGCTCATCTTCCAGATTCTATTATTGGTCCATTTCAGAACAATTTTGACAATTAAATGTGCGATTTTTTTTTAATTGTGGAAAATTTGGTGTGCGTATACTGTATACAGTAGATGGGGGCTACAACCGCTGATGACCAATATTTATGGACATTGGTCCTCTGCCCCTTAAGGACCAATGATTCTGTGTTTTTTTATTGTTGCATTTCTTGCGTTTGAATTGTTTGATTCTCTGATCTGGGTTGGCCAATTCAACGGTTTTGTAAAGTCCTCCGAGATAACTACTGTAGTGATTTAGGGCTATACAAGAGTGAATTGAACTGAATTGAACTCCTCTTGATGATTGAGGTTTCAGACATGTTTGATTTTTGTTTAGAATCACAGGGCGAGCGTGCTGCTGCAGTCCAGTCCAGTCCAGTCTCTGAACTAATCACGGTACACATAAACAAAAAAGGTGTTTTATTTTATTAAAGCGACTTTCAGTGCAATTCTGTTTGTGAGAAGACATGCTCTCAACTCCCGTGTTCCTTGTACAGAGTGAGCAGGTGAGCTCATGCGTCTACTATTCCAAATACTTTGCACACGCTGACCCTCGATTTCCACCAGATTGGGGAATTACGATCAATATTTTTATTAATTACAAATTCAAATCTCTAAAATCAGAAAAGAAAAGCAAAGACAGAACATTGTCTTTTATAAACATAAACAAAGATGGATGCTCTGGCTAAATGCTGTGCTCTTGTGTTACTTCCAAAATGGGGAACTTATTGAGTATGATGTCACAGGCAGTGTTAAAGCTGCAGTAGAAATGTACAGAAAACCAAAAGTATAGAAGAGGATATGGGAAAACAACACCCACAAAGGCAGATGTGGCCGCTCTGATGTGGTTATGGTCAGTTGCCCGCGGCCCCCAGAGGATATACAGACACCCCCAGCTCTCCCAAACCTCCTTCCCCTGCACGATGGGCTGTGTCTGCTGGCTCTGTACTATAGCCGCCTTGGACACTCAAAGGCTTTGCATATGCTGTGGTATAGGCTCACACACAGATATCTATCAGCTGCTGTATGCCTGCTACGTTTGTTTTTGTGTTTTTGTTTGGGAGATTGGGATTGGGAAATACATTTATCGTTCATAAGGCCTTTTGTGCAATTATGTAAAAACTGAATTAACTACATTACAACACTCTGCAGAAGGCAATACTTTTTGATGAGGGTCAAAGCAAACTTACGTATCTATTGGCAATGTGGCAGATGCTTGGGGGAACAGCTATATTTTGCATTGGTATAAAACCATGTGAACCCAACAAAAATAGTTTTGCTTACGCTGTGTTCCATCGTTTGTTATCTTCTTCACCAGCTACATCTAAACTATGAAGACAAGATGAACCTTCAAAGCTATTTAAATACATAGGTTCTTTTAAAGTCAAGAACCTCAGCTTAAATACTATTTAGGTATTTCATGACACTTTGAAGCAACTGTGGTTAAAGTTCTAACTCATCATTCTAACATATGCACAAGCCAGTACTTTTCCACTGCATGTTTTGGTTATCTCAAGGTTGAAGCTACTCGCACTGTGGCCAATGCTGATTGGAGGACTCCATTCCTCCATGCTATATTATCACTTGCAGTCTGTATCATCCTTATTCGTGTTCTTGTTCGTGCTGTCTCTACCAACGACAATAAAACATGTCTTCTGTCTGAATTAAAGACACGATCCCAGACTTTGCCATCTTCTTCAGGTGGTGGAGAATGCGGGCATTGTCTGAAGTAACATCTAGAGAACAGAAGAGAAACCATGCATCTGGATCAGCACACTTGGACAATCTGCACAGTCCCTGATTCCAATCAGGCCTGCGGTGAGCTGCTGAGACATGGACAACACCATTGTCCTCTTTTGCATGGACACAATTTGGAAAAATTTGGAACAATTGGATTTCTGAATTTGGACATAATTTGGACTGAATTGAATTGCTGAATCTGGACACGGAAGCTGAAACGTGTGATTGAAAGACACGTCACAGAAGAATTCATGGCTCGACACGAATGCAGCCTGAAGAAACCAACACGGAGAAGTGGGAGAGACTGTTTTCAAAGCAATATCTGGTACCATCGACTGATGAAGTTTGGTATTTTACTGAAGATTGTTGACAAGTTTTATGAAAGATCTGAACATGTTTTCTGAGTTTTTGAAGTATTAAGTCCCGAGATGAGTTTTTGAAGTATTGAGTCATGATGTTATGTTGCTGTTTATCGATCCTGATGGTCACACGTGACCAACTATAAACTGACTTGTTGGCGTGTAAAAGTAAAAATCCCATTAAATATGAAACTTGCCGACCTGGATTCTGCTACAACTTTGGCAGCTCAGAATGCAGAATAAATCACTGTTCTTTCCTTAAATTCACAGTAGATATAGTAATTGCATATGCTCACACTTTCACTCACTCTTAATGTTTGTACTGTACATTTGCATTGAGACCTCTGTCACTCTCCCGGCCTGCCCCCCTTCCCTGTCGGTCTGTCTGTCCATGGTCCAGGCTGAAGTGTAATTCAAGGAGCGGTCTTCACATGCCCCACAGGCATGCAGGGGACATTGTGTGCGCTGTGGCGGCAAATTGCTCTCCTTGCTCCTTTCAGTCCATAGCTCTCCAAGAGTTTTTGCACCTCCTTGTCTTCAAACTCTGCCAATCCTCATGCACTTTATTAGTCAGGTCTCAACTCAACAAACTGCTCTCCACACGCTCAGGCGATGGCTACTCAACTATTCCAACTTCAGCTGCTTTCAACAAACTTATGTTTCTTTTGCCATTATGTTAATAATAGAGTATAGCTTACAGTATATTTTGTTCAATTTCATTCGAATTGAAACTTTACAAAAGGGAAAAAGTGTTAAGTGCACTTTCGGAAGACAGTGTACTTTCTGAAAAAAAAATTCAGGACATTTCAGGACTCAACTTATAATGCCACTCATTATAAGTGAAAGACGGATGAATATGAATAAATGCCTATTCCTTTTCTTTGGAGTTATGGTTCAAGGAAGAGATTATTTTTAATACCATACTATTAATTACAGTAATGTTTTGTGAATGGGTAATACAAGTTGAAAACTTGCATCTCAAGGTTCAATGTAGAGTTTAAATCGGGCTCAAAAATCCTGCTGGCCTCAACCCTAAGCTAGGAACCCGCGCTGCGGTAAAAGTAATCTCAGCTCTGCCGCTGAACGCTAAACAGTTACAGGCCCCTACGTAGGGCTATGGTGTGATTTGCACCGGCTATGTCGAGATCTCTGGCTAAAGCATCGGTGGAGGGCCCATGCATGAGCCTGAGTGGCCCAGGATGTCTCCAGATCAAATTCAGCCTGTGCGCTCGTTAGACGCAGACATGATTATTTACAAACTTTGTGACTCATAATGTGAATCACAAAGTTACAAAGTTATTCCCAAAAATCAATAAACAAAGTCTGATGGTCGATGTCTTGCAAGACTTCCAAATCAGCTGTTTTAATTGGCAAACCGATAAATTGTTCAGGCCGTGCAAAAAAAGCTATTTTCCAATGAATCAAAGTCAGCGAGGACCTTCTTACTATGCAGAGCAGTTCTGATGGTAGGAATCAGCATACATTTGTCCAATATAAAATGAAGTTTAGCAGCTTGGGAAATAACCCACAGTGAGAGCAGCAGACAGCAGAGTGAACCTGTGGGAGAGAGGAGAGGGGAAGTGGGGCTGAGAGAGGGAGATACATGCTTCATTAAATGAGGAAGTAATCCTGCCTAATTAAGGCTCTCTATGACAGCACTGTCAGGGATGACTGATCCTCCCACTTCTGACTGACAGCCACCGCTCTGAAGGTGAGAACTTTCCTGCTTATTCCCTCGATACAGATATTTACTTTTTGCTGTTTCTTTTCCACAATTCAAAGCATATTTGCATCTTATTGTCATTATGAAGACAAGTATGAAAGAGATATATGTAAATGTGCTGCTGTGTGTCTTTATAAGGTCTTGCATACACTTTTGTCGTATAGGTGTT